TTTCTATATCTAACTGAGTGTGTATGTTATTTCCTCTTTGAGCCAAATCTGATGACATTAAGGTTCAAACAATGCTTGTTTCCATGTCTTCTTTCTAGGGGCAGCTAGGTGGTGCAGTAGATAGAGCACTGGCCCTGAAGTCAGGAGGACCTGAGTTCAAATTCGGCCTCAGACACTAGACACTTACTAGCTGTTTGACCCTGGGCAAGTCACTTAACCCCAATTGCCTAAAAAGAAAAAAAATTAAAATCCATGTCTTCTTTCATTCTGCTGTAATAGGTCTTTGTGCCTCTTCATGTGATATAATTTACCCTTTTCTGCCTTCTCCTTTCCCGTTCTCCCAGTACTATCCTTTTTTTTTAATCATCTGATCAAATTCAACTTATACCCACACTGTCTATCTATGTATACCCCTTCTAAGTGCCATAATAAAGATACAGTTCTCAAGAGTTACATGTATCATCTTCCCATGTAGGGTTGTAAATACTTTAACCTTAGTGATTAATGTGGTTTTTTTCCTTTCTAGTTTTATCTTTTTATCCTTCTCTTAAGTCTTGTATTTGGAGATCAAATTTTATGTTGAGTTCTGGTCTTTTCATCAGGAAGGTTTGGAAGTCCTCTATTTCATTGAATGTTCATCTCTTTCCCTGAAAGATTATGTTCAGTCTTGCTTCTTGGTTGTAATCCAAACTCCTTTACATTCCAGAATATTTTAGTCTAAGCCCTTCTGTCCTTTAATGTAGAAATTGCTAGGTCCTGTGTAATCTTGAATAGTTCTGTGATATTTAAATTGTTTCTTTCTGCCTACTTGCAGTATTTTCTTCTTGATATGGAAATTCTGGAATTTGGCTATATTATTCCTTGGAGTTTTCCTTTTGGGATCTCTTTCAAGAGGTGATTGGTGGATTCTTTCAATGACTGTTTTGCCCTCTGGTTCTAGGACCTCAGGGCAGTTTTCCTTGATGATTTCTTGAAAGATGCTGTCTAGTCTCTTTTTTTGATCACTGCTTTCAGGAAAGGTACACTAATAATTTTTAAATTCTCTCTCTTGGATCTATTTTCCAGGTCAGTTGTTTTTCCAGTGAGGTATTTCACATTTTCTTCAGTTTTTTTTTATTCTTTTGATTTTGTTTAGTTGTTGATGTCTCATAGAGTCATTAGCTTCCACTTGCCCAATTCTGATTTTTAAGGAATTTTTTTTCCCAGTTGTCTTTTGTTACCTCCTTTTCCATTTAGCCAATTCTAGTTTTTAAGGAGTTGTTTTCTTTAGTGGATTTTTTTCTCCCCCATTTGGCCAATTGTATTTTTTAAGGAATTGTTTTCTTCAGTCAGTTTTTATCCTTCCTTTTCCAAGCTGTGGACCCTCTCTTGCATACCTCTCTTGTTTTCCTAATTTTTCTTCTACCTCTCTTATTTGACTTTTAAAATCCTTCTTGAACTCTTCCAAGAAGGCTTTTTGGGTTTGAGACCAGTTTGTATTCCCCTTTGAGGTTTCAGATATAGGTATATTGACAATATTATCCTCTTCAGAATTTGTATTTTGATCTTCCCTGTCCCAATAGAAGCTGTGTATGGTCAGTGTTCATTTTTGCTCTTTTTCCTGGCTTTTAAAGTTGAGCTCGACTTCTGGGGCAGAAGGGGCACTGTCTCAAACTTCTTGTGCTGAGTGCTAGGGGCCTGGTCAGGGGCTGTGTGTGCTGGAACCTCAGGTGCTAGCAGATGTAAACTGTAGGGGCTGAGAGCTTTCCTGGTGCTGACCTGTGGACCTTGTGCTAGTGTCTGGTATGTGCTGAGGCCGGGTGTGGTTTTTTTGCATTTCTACATGCTGTGCTGATGCATGTGATATAGCCCTCTGGAGGATGCCTGCCCCCTGGTGCTCCTCTGTACCATCTGGAGATCTGGCCACTGCCTCCTGGGGCTGCACTAGAGCATGGAGAGGTCTGGAAGCTGGAAGACACCCAGCAGCTTGAGGCTGAGCTGAAGCATAGGGAGTTCCGCAGCTAGGGCCGACTTGCCTGCGCAGGGCTGTACCAGCATGTGGTGGTTCTCTGAGCTGGAGTCTGCTGGTTCCCATGGTTATGCTAAGGCATGTGGCGGATCCTGATGTTGGCATTTGCCTACTCCACTATCCTCCAGCTCAGCATCTCCTGCTGGTTTGCTGTTGTAGGCCTTGTTGGTGGCTTGCTGAGATGCTTCTTGTCCTGGAATGTGCTACCCTTTTACCCTGAGTGAGATAGACCTTTCTTGATGACCCCCTAAGTTTCCTGGGCTAAACGACTGCTTCACTCTGTCTTTCTGCTGCCTCCACTGTTCTAGGATTTTTCCTGGGGCACTATTTTCTGCTTTTTTCAGAGATCAGTTTGGGAGAGTGACAGCAATTTACTGTTTACTCCGCCATCTTGGCTCCTGGAAAACCTTAGGTTTTTTTTTAGTGTAAGATACCTTATATTCTGTTTCAATCTTGTCCTTTTTTTTTTCTTCAGTATTTCTCTATATTGTTTTAATCTTGTCCTTTTTTTTTCCTTCAGTGTTTCTTGTTTCATGGATTTGTTAACTTCTATTTAGTCCATTCCAGTTTTCAAGGAGGTTCCAGTCATTTTTCTCCATGTCAGAAATGGTTTCCCTCTTCTTTGACTACTGACCTCCCTGGCCTGCTATAATGCCTGACTAAAATCCTGCCTTCTATAGGAAGCCTTCTCCAATCCCTCTTAATTCCAATTCTTAGTTTTTTCCTATTTATAGGTTGCTTTTTATGTTTGTTCATATGTTGTCTCCCTCATTAGAGCCTATGAAATTAGAGCCTCCTGGTTGTTCCATAAACAAGACATTCCATCCCTTGGCTGTGGACATTTTCTTTGACTGTTCCCTTTGCCTAGAATACTCTCTCTCTTCTGTTTTACCTGCTGGCCTCCCTGGAGTCCTTTAAGTCCCATCTAAAATCTCATCTTTTATTGAAGCCTTCTCTTAATTTTATTGAAGCCCTCTTAATTTTAGATAGGATTATTTAAGTATCTTGTTTTCTGTTAATTTGTATTTTTGTATATATTTGGATTTTCTGTTTTATTGGTATATAGTGGGGGAAAATAGCTTCTGATAATTGTTTTTCTGTTTTCTTCATTGATGAGAGATATAACGAAAATGTTTGTTCTGTACATTTGGAGCAAACAGCTAGAAAAGTAACTAAGGAAAAGAGGATACAGCTGGTCTTATCTTGTTTTGCTGATAGAAGTTAGTTAAGTAGAAGAAAAGGTTCCATAAAATTGAAACAACTGCTAAAAGTAACTAAGTAAAATGGCATAAATCTGGTCTTATCTTGTTTTCCTGTTAGAAGTTGTAAGTAGGACAAAGGTTAAGCTTTGCTTAGAATGCGCATGCTTAATAGGCTTATAAATATTAGCTTCTCTACCTCCAGGAGGGGCTAAGCCACCATTTTCTGAAGTGGGATGTTTGAAGAAGGAGGGATGGACCTATCAAGGAATAGCTGTATGATAGGCATACTGGAAAGTTGTACACTCTGGAGTACTCAGCCAATGAGGAAACAGAGGAGGGATTTTGTGGCCGGGATTAGAGATAAATAGTGAACTCCTGCTTTGTTACAATGTATCCTAGTTTGTAGGACACCTACGGTGGCAACTGTGTGATAAACTGGGCTTTTAACTTCCTCCCTCCTGAGTCTGAATGAGTTATTTCTCACAATTGATTATCAATTTACCTTTTTAATTTTGATGCTGATAATTTGGTTTTCTTCTTTTTTAAAAAATAAGATGAGCTAATGGCTGACTTATCTATTTTACTTAAAAAAAGTTATGAGTTTAATAGGACATCTTTTATTGACAGAATTGGTGCTAAGATGTTTTTAAATTGTGTGTGAAACTTAGGCATCATTTTAAAGAACATTCTTAGTCTTTAAAATAAACATTTCTATCTTCAAAATAGCCAAAAAAGCTATGAGTTTTAATATTTCAAGTTTTAAAAAAATTTTAGTTTTTTAATCTCTTGATTTTCAGGATTTTTAATTTAGTGTTCAATTAGGACTTTTAAGATAGTTGGTTTTCTAGTTTTATGCCTAATTCGTCTATGTCTTCTTTTTCCATTTTCCTGACTCCAGGTCTGGCTTTCTATTCACTGTGCCACCTAGCTACCGCTGTTAAGGGAAAACTAGGCTAAAATGCTTCTTTTCACATTACCATTTTCACTCTGACCCTTGTCCATTGATTCTTTAATTATCTCTCTTTGAACGTTATATAGCTATTTTCTCTTTTTGTATCCCTAACACTTCGCATGATACCTGGCAGATAGTAGGTGCTTAATAGAACTGATTGATTGGCTGATTGATTAGGGAATTGGTCTATAGTTTTTTTTCTCTGTTTTGATTTTCCCTGGTTAAGATATCAAAACCATATTTGTGTACTAGAAGGATTTTTGTGGGATCTCTTCTCATTTTTTACAAGTTTATGTTGTATTGGAATGAATTGTTTTTTAAATGTTTGGGTTAAATTCATTTGTAAATCTGTGCTGTCCTGGGTTTTTTTCTTTGATGATTCATTCATAACTTGTTCAGTTTCTTCTGTTTCTTAATTATTTCCATGTTATCTGGTATATAACTTGTTTGTGCGTAGTTTGCAATATATTCACTCTCCTAGCAGAGTACAGATCCTTGAGGTCAGTAATTGACTTTTGTCTTTCTTTGTATCCCCAGTGCTTTGCATAGTGCTTGGCATACTGTAGGCACCTAATTAATGTTTATTGATGGACTGAATGCAGTTCTCTAATTTATGGACTCTGTGAATCATAATGCTTACATTAATTAACCTCATAGGGATAACATTTTATGAATTGTGAAGTGTTTCCATATACAAATGTGTGTGAGTGATTCTTATTATGGGTGTGTTTTGATAGATGGAGGGTAATTCCAATATTGAGAATATGTTAAATAATTAAGTTTCTTAAGTTCCCACTACTAACTCTTAACTTTGAATTAATGTTTATTTTCTTTTTAGATATCAACGTGGTTCTCGATCTTTGATTGCCAATCTGCGGCTTTCTACCCAGGATGAAGAGAAACAGATCCCCCAAATTTTAGCTTCTGACAATGATGAAGACTATGATGTTCCTGAGGAGGTTGAAAATGTCATAGGTGTGTTGCAGCTAGGTTGATATTTTCCACTTAGTCTTCAGACATTTCTCAGGTTCTGAATATTTATTTGAAGATCCAGTTAGTTTGTGTGGATAGGACTAAGAATACTTGTTAATTATTATTTGATAATGGACCTTTTATTTGTTCAGTATATAAATCTGTGTATATATACTATTTAATAGATATGAACTTATTTAATAGATATAAAGGAGTAGAAAATAAATTAAGGAACTTATAGCAAGGACAGTAATTGCCATGGGATTTCATAGAAAACTAGAGCTCAGTAATTTCTGATATTGTTGAGGCTTGGAATTTGAAAGGATTGAGGCTATAATGGGTTAGATTTTTTTTTAGGTGAAGGAGGGTATTCCAGGTGATAGAAACAATATGAGCAATGTTACATGGAAGGTAAATATACCCATGGTATAGATGTGGTTCAATGGGAACTCTGGCCTAACTGGAATACAAGTCAACATTAAGTACCTTTTATATGCCAGGCACTCTTATAAGGGCTGGAGACACAATGAAAGGCAAATTCACAGTCTAACAGGGGAAGCAATATATAACTAGGTACAAGCAAGATATTTTCAGGATAAGTTGGATATAATCTCAGAGGGACAACATTAAGGAGAAATGGGAAAAGCTTCTTACAGAGAAGGTAGAACTGATGGAAGTACCTAGGTAAATTGAGGTCAGATAACTGAAGGCAGCATAGGGTATTGTTAAGAAGCCTGACTTTGAAGTCAGAGGACCTATGTTTGCATTTTGCCTGTGGTATTTGGTGCTAGTATGACCTAGAATATGTCATTCCATTTTTCTGGTCCTCAGCTTCATCCTTTGTAAATGAAGGATTGGACTAGATGATCTATGAAGTTATTTCCAACTCAGCAAGCATATTGTAATCTTGAGATGATTTTGAGGCTCATAGTAGTTGCTATTGTTAAAGAGTTCAGGTGCCTGTAGTTACAAGAATTTAGCAGCCTTTAGCTACTTTATTTCTTTTTTCCAACTTCTGGGAAGATGGCAGAGTAGGAGGAAGAAGTGTAGCCTAGATTTCCCCTACCAAACTGTATCCTCCAAGATCTATGAAATGCACTGAAAAAAAGTAACTCAATCATTTTTCTATCCAGACTTAGGGACACAGACAGGTCTGCAGTTATTAGGGGTGGGGTCTGCCTGGGGCGCCCTGTATCTGAAATGTTATAGTTGTAGGGGACTGAAAGAGAGCTGAGACTGTCCACTAGGGCACGAAGAACCTGGGCAAGAAGAGATCCCAAGGGATTCCTGAATTACGTACATGAATAGCATGCAGGAACTGGTATAGTCTGGTACTTCATTCACTCATTACCTGGTTCTTGGGAGAACTGGTCGAGGTAGATCTGCAAATATTTGCAGGTGGACAGAAGTGATCTCTTGCAGGTTCTAGCTTTGTGCTGATAAAAGAACAAGTTCTGAAGCAAACAGCATGGCTCAGATCTCAGGAACAAAGTGAGCAGTCAGTTCTTTCCTCTAGTTCAGGGTGAATGCTTCATTGTAACAACCAGGACAGAAGTCCCAAACTAAAGAGGGATCTATAGTTTAGTCACTGAATGTGGAAAGCCTCCTAGCAGGCTAATACAAGGTCAGTCTAGCAGGCTAGTTTTCTACTGAAACTCTCAACCAGGGACAAACTAACAGACAGAAACCTAGGTCAGGAACTTGCAGGGCTTAGACCAGGAGAGCAGGGAGCAGGTTTCACCTTGATCACATTACCTTAGGAGTACTGAAAGCAGACAGACACTCATTTTGTAAGAAGACAGAAGCTCAGGCTAAACTTACCCCTTAGAAGTATGCAGAAATCAGCACTAATATAAAGTCTGAAGTCAAGCTATGGGCAGGAATAATGAATAAAACAAAATAGACTCAAGCTATAAAGAGATATTATGGAGACAGGCAAACTCAAGGTGGAAACCCAAAAGAAGAAAATGACTTAACATTTACAAGCAAAGCCTCAAAGAAAAATTTATTTGGAACTGAAGTCCAAAAAATAAGTGTTTTTTTTTTAGCTAAAAATTATTATTTTTAAAAAACAAGAGTGGGGGGCGGAGCCAAGATGGCAGAGTGAAAGCAGTGACTTGCTTGAGCTCTCCCCCAAACCCCTCCAAATACTCATAAAAAATGGCTCTAAACAAATTCTGAAGCAGCAGAACCCACAAAAAGACAGAGTGAAACAAATTTCCAGCCCAAGACAACCTGGATGATTGATCAGAAAGGTGTATCACACCGGGCTGGGAGCGCAGCGCAGCGTGGCGTAGGCGCGCAGGCCACAGCAAACCTGGAGCAGGCCTCAGAGGACTGAATCGTGGGCAGCTGTGGAGGTTCCCAGACTCCTCAATCCACGAATGTCAAAGACAACTTAGAAGGTCAGTGGGAACAGTCTGTGTTTGTCGGTGGTCAGAGAGGAAGGCGGGGTCTCAGCTCCATTCCCCAAGAGCCTGGTCCTGGCGGGGCAGCTGCTTCCCGAGCTTCCGGCCCACAGACGGAGGGGGAATCCAGTGGCTGATCAGAGAGGGACTGCAGGGATCTCTTTGCCAGTGCTGAGGCAGGAATCTCTTACTTTGCCCGTGTGTGGATCTGGGTCACAGTTCTGGGTGGCAGTGCTGGGGTGAGGAAGAGCGCTGGCGCGTGGTGGAGCTTGTAGTGGCTGTGGAGAGGAACCCCTCCCCACAGTTACAGGACAGAAAGGAATACCTGTGCTCATAGGCCAGGAAAGGAGTAAACACCTCACCCCTTGTCATACCACCTTGGAAGAACTGAAAATTTACAGGTCCCTACAAGTATCTCTGAAAACAGCTACAGAAACCCCTGAAGCTTGGGACAGTACACTCTCCACATTGGAAGCAGACTCTTACCTTAACAAGGAATTTAAAACTCAAGTAATTGGCTGGGATCATGAGCAAGCAGCGCAAAAAGAGTCAGACTATATTATCTTACTTTGGTGAAAAAGAAGATCAAAATATACAACCAGAAGAAGACAACAAAGTCAAAGCTCCTACATCCAAAGCCTCCAAGAAAAATATGAATCAGTCCAGGCCTTGGAAGAGCTCAAAAGGGATTTTGAGAAGCAAGTAAGGGAAGTAGAGGAAAAACTGGGAAGAGAAATGAGAGTGATGCAAGAAAATCATGAAAAACAAGTCAACACCTTGCTAAAGGAGACCCAAAAAATACTGAAGAAAATAACACTTTAAAAAACAGCGTAACCCAAATGGCAAAAGAGGTCCAAAAAGCCAATGAGGAGAAAAATGCCCTTAAAAGAAAAATTGGCCAAATGGAAAAGGAAGTCCAAAAGATTACTGAAGAAAATACTTCCTTAAAAATTAGAATAGAGCAATTGGAAGACAGTGACTTTATGAGAAATCAAGACACTGTAAAAAGAATGAAAAATTAGAAAACAATGTGAAATATCTCATTGGAAAAACAACTGACCTGGAAAATAGATCCAGGAGAGAGAATTTAAAAATTATTGAACTATCTGAAAGCTATGATCAAAAAAAGAACCTAGACATCATCTTTCAAGAAATTATCAAGGAAAACTGCCCTGATATTTTAGAACCAGAGGGCAAAATAGAAATTGAAAGAATCCACCGATCTCCCCCTGAAAGAGATCCCCAAAGGAAAACTCCTAGGAATATTGTAGCCAAATTCCAGAGTTCCCAGGTCAAAGAGAAAATATTACAAGCTGCCAGGAGGAAACAATTCAAGTACTGTGGAAACACAATCAGGATAACACAAGATTTGGCAGCTTCTACATTAAAGGACCACAGGGCATGGAATATAATATTCTAGAGGGCAAAGGAGATAGGATTACAACCAAGAATCACCTACCCAGCAAAATTGAGTATAATCCTTCAGGGGAAAAAATAGTCATTCAGTGAAATAGAGGACTTTCAAGCATTCCTGATGAAAAGACCAGAGCTAAACAGAAAATTTGACTTTCAAATACAGGACTCCAGTGGAACATGAAGAGGAAGCTCAGATGAAATTTACAGATTGACCCCAGGTGGTGGGTAGGGCCATTCAACCACCGATACTGGAATTAACGTGGTCACTTGGAAGAAATCATCAAACTTCCAGTGAGTATGGTATGGTACTCACACACACATTATCTGAAATAGGTCAATGAAAGCCTTTGGGCTTGAATTGTCTAAATTATCATTCGTTTGTATAATTTGCTTTCTTATTCTGATTCCATATAAGTAAACAAATTTGCTTGGGATTTGAGGGAGGGGAATAACAGGAGAGGGATATTTTCCTTTTGACTTGGCCATTCATCTTGGCTCATATTGGAATGGTATGCTTTTCTGTTCTGAAGTAGTAGACAACATTAAGGGGATTTCTGGAACAGTAACAATTTCCAAAGGATTTATAGATTTCTGCTTCTCCTCCACAAGAAGTAGCAAGCAAAATTTTCATTTACAGTAAATATTTAGAGAAAAAATGAAAGGGTATATGTCTGGAGGGGGCTTCTGTGTTTTTATTTATTTTCAAATTAAGATGGCAAAATTCAAATTTCAAAAATGAAATGCTTCAAATGTAGGAGTATCATTTTGATCTTTTCCACTTTGAGACATAGTATACTTACTAAATCATTTTAATCCAAAGCCTTAAGTTCGACATTTCACTTTTGCTTCTTTCCCTAGCTGCCAATAGTTTGTTCTTTGATGGCCTAACCTCAGGTCCCAGCCTTAGCTCATTAAGACTCTACTACATCCTCTGACAAACATCCAGCCATAAAATATTTTAAAGCAGTTTCTGTTTTTGAAGCCTCAGGTTCCACTTGGAGTTTGTATATAAAGGAAATTCAGAAACAATGGAATTTAAGTATTTCCATGTTTACCCAGCCCTACACGATACTTGTTATTTCGTTTATTTACAGCTTGTAATTCTTGGAACCTGGATTGGACTGTTTATAGTAATCAATTGCTTTTGGTTTTATTTCATTTTTTTGTTGTTGTTGTTGG